CAAATTTTTAAAAGAATATACCGAGTAGTTTTCAAGATATGATTTTTTGAAGTTAAAGTTTGCTAATCAATTATTTCGCCATATAGGAGAAATGCATGTTAATCTTACTTAAAATTGCATTTTTAAAAGAGTTTTGAGATTCTTCTTTTGCTTAAAAACAGTCAATTGCACCTTCTTTGTTCTAATTAGAATAAACAAAAACGGTTTGTTTACTTAAAACAAACAAAGAGTACCTGCGTACTCTTATGTCATTAACCGCCAATAAGTTGATTTACGAATTATTCTGTATTTTTTTCATTACTTAGTGACACTTGTTAAATGCACCAGTTTTTCATGGCCAACTGCGAATTAAAATTAAAGATAATATTTTGCTTAAAATGTCTTATAATTAAATTCGATTACAGGTATATATTTTTTAGTTAACAAAAAAACTAGCTTTTTAAAAAAAATTTTAGATTTCGCTAAAAAGACGATAGCGGGATGCGGTTTTAACCAATATTATTTTTTCAAAAATGAACCCTAGAATGTATCACTTGTTTTTGGATAAACTTTTTAGTTTCAGAGATTTCCTGTTCGGACATCCAAAATGCAACACCCTGTACAGTCTGTATATTAACTCCCAGAGATTACCATTGCTTTTCTAAGGTGAAAAAAATGTTAGTCAGGGTCTGAAAACTGCTCTTAATGATTTGGAGAAATTGACAAAAAAAGATTTTGTTATTTCAGAAACGTGAAATAAGTGGTATAAATGTTGAAAAACATTATTCTTTTCGTAAAATATAGGGTGACTAAAAAATATGAGACCTAATTTCTGAAAATTTTCACTTATTTTTTAGATTCACACATTTTTTTAAATAACTTGCGACTTAAATTTAGATAAATTTTAAAATAATAGTCTTTTTTGAAAATTATTTTCATAAATAAATCTTGTACATTTCAGAAATAAAACAAAAAATTCAAAAACTTAATTATTAAAAAATCACATTTTATTCAATGTCACATTTCATTTCAATGTTTAGTCTGTATTTTATCAACCATTTAAATTTTAAACCTTCGTAGACAGTTTAAAGTTCTGTACATTGTCGGAGTAAAATCCTTTTTAATTTTGATTTACCTTTATCCAGATTGGCCTTTACCTACAATATTTCATTTTCTAACTCCAGAATGTAATATTCTGGAGAGTTTAAATTATGGATATATGGTCTGGTGTGATCGCTTGTCGCTGTCTACATTGCGGTGATGTTGGTATACGAAGTCCTATAATCTCGATGATTTATCTTCCCGTTTCCAACATGGTGAATTCGGAATTTGAATAAGAAAAAATGTGTGAAAGACATCTGCTACGAGATTAGACAATCAAAAACAAATCTGAAAATATAAATTATTGTTTATGTTCAATCAAAAAAAGTAATTATTCCATATAAAATAAACAATGGGAAATTGATTTGATTAATGATTTTGTCTGCAGCTCTTCCTGACTTGCATGATATGGAAATTACATTTAATATCATAAATGTATGAATTATTATCGGGTTTCATTCGAAGAAATAAATGTATAAATCTACAAATGATCAAATATTAGTCATTAGTTGTTCAAAATAATTAACATTTCCATTGGTAACACTGAAAAGAGTGATTTGTTTTTGAACATTTGAGAGAAAGACTCGTTTATTTAATTTAAGAACTAATGTTTAATTTGAATTATAATAGAGTTCTCGCATCTAGTTTTAAATGTATAAACGTTTCTGTTTTTACATCTTGCTTTTTTAGTCAAAAATTTCTTCTTCAATTTAATAAAACACGGTTTTAGAGAATGTACAGGTGTCCGCAAGCTATTGAACTTAAATTAAATTTTGAAAAGTTTGCAAACGTGACGCCTCAACTTTATAGATATCTTACAGCCAACATTTACATATTGCTTTCTCACAGTTGTAAGGAATTTATCAAGGGACTATTCTGTTTACTAGTCTTTCCAAATTCAGATAATAATATTTTTATAAAACTAAAGCAGTTTAGAGAATCTCATGGAAAATTTATTCAAGATTAAATTTTAAATTAAATAACAAATTTTCAGTTATATTACAGTCAACACCATTATTATATTATTTATTGTTTGCACTTCAATCACCAGTACTATTACAAAGTATTTCATTTAATTACTTCTATTTAAACACTAACTATTCTAGCACAGTTATTAATTACTTCGTTCAGTTTGTAATTACATCGCTCCGTATCCCCAATGTCATTGCCAGATCGATCAAATGTTACAAAAACAAAAATATAATGCAGTCCACAAATTCATACATTGTTTGATTATACGCAAATATGCACCAAAAGCCTCTTGTGGAAAGTACTTTTTTAATTAAAAAGCATGTGCAAGTAGGTTCATAATGTTTTAAAAGTGTCACTGCTGGCAACCAGTTTTACATTTGCAAAATTTCTGAATTCAATGATATTTCACAAAAAGTACATTTTGGGATCAAAATATGTTTATTATTAATTTAAATTTAACTAACTGTTCCATTAGCAAACTATCAATAAAACACCAATTATTTCAGTTATTTTATTTCAGAATTAACTCACAATAGATACTTCTGTTAAAACAATTGTTGTTGCATTACTTTAAAATCACATTTTTGTTCAGGTATTGATTTTATCTGTTTCAAATTCAAATCTAAAAAAATTGCCTATTTGTCTTTTTGAAAACTGCAGAATCGAAAGATATTGTGTTTTTATAACAATTTTGATGAATTTTTGTTAGAAATTTTTTATACATTCTAAAACATTAACCATTTTCAATACACTTTAGCTGAAATTTACAAACTAAAAATGTTTTTAATTGTTTCTTTGTTTTTATTATACATTTTATGTCACACTTACTTTTTCTTTATTCAAAATTCATTTTACTTACCTTTTTTATGTCTGTTATTTTATTTTATATACTACTTATTTTTTTACCTATATGTTGTTTCAGAACTTGCGCCCAGAGAAAAATTTCAAGTAATATAAAATACCAGGAACATGGACAAAATGTTTAACAAAATGTTATCTGTCAAAAATTTTGGCATTTATTTTTTGACATTTGACATTTTTTATGTTTATTTAATGATACTGATGATCTTTTTGATGTTATTTTTATAATTATTTAGTAAAAGTACTAATAAAAACCACAAATAACATTAAACAGAGTTACAGTTTATAATACAGCTTCCTTGTTTCCTTTTCTAATAGCCTGCAGCAAAAAAACTTGGAAAATGATTTTTCCTACAGAAATAAAGTCAAAGTGAAAGATTTTTATAGATAGAATTTTTTTAACATTTTTTCCATGTTCCTGGTATCTTATCTTACTTGGCATTTTTCTCTCGGGCGCGAATTCCGAAACTCCTTGTATATTTTGCCCTGTATGTATGTACACTTGAGTGCAAAAAAAACGCAAATTGATTTTTTTTATAATGTAATTTGGCCTGTTAATAAATGCCAGTTTTTTGACATTGTTTTTCAATTCACAATTTCATAATTGTCAGGCATTTTTCAAACTTTTATCAAGTTTTTCCATTTCGTGGTTAACACTGACTGTGACACCAAATACGACATTTCTTTTGATAGATTACTAACTTTTTTAGGAACAATCTTTTTCACACTATGTAAATCTCTGAAAAATTTGACAATTTGAGTTTTTTTCGCATGTACATGTTTTAAAGCCTCAACTTTTAACATTTATTTGAGTTATTAGTAGGTATGTATTTGAATTATATAATTACTGATTTGATCGGCGTTCAACATTTATTTCCCGCGTTTCCACGTTTTATGCACTTTTTTGACTCTGAGACACTTCATGAAAAACTTTTTTCTGACTGAAATAACAATAATGATTTATGAATATTAAAACTAGAGTTTAGGAATTATTTTTCCTAATAAAAAAAGTTTTCAGAATCAGAATTGTTTAATTTTGGCTTATTTGCAATTGTTTTTGAGTAGTATACTTTTTTGTTTCAATTATATTGGTTAACAAATTTTTAATATAAATCTATTAGATACATAAATGTATATTTACAGCATTCTCAGTTTACATTATACTGTTTACCTTTCATTCACTAGATTTCACTCTGCAGTTGATGTTAATTTAGAGAGAAATTTAATGTAATTTGGGTAATGTATACCATAGCCGAGGAATAAAGCCTAACATATTTGTTTTAATTAATTAGTTTTGAGGCTAAGTCCATACATAAAGAGTATTTTATCAAAGCAACGTCTTAGTTAATGTGATCAAAAAGTTAATTCAGTAGAACAACAACGTAAACCTACGATTAAAAAAATCTACTAAATTAGTTTGTAACAGTAAAATAGTTGAATAAGTTTAATAAGTAAAGTTTAGATAGAATTCACAGTGCGTGGTTATTTAGAACAGAATTAAATTAGTTTTGACTTCATGAATTCGAACAGTTTCAGAAATGACCAAATATGCGGGTTTGACAGAATGATGTTTATCTCCCACTTTGACTTCTGAACTATGTATTATTCAGGGTGGGTTTTGTATTTTTGCCATATCCCGTTATTTGAGTTACGGACATTGAAATTTCCAATAGTAATGTAAAGGGGCGACTTTTTATTTTTTTTTTAATTTCCTCTGTTCGCATACACTTTGGTAAACACAAATCCAGTATTCATGTTTCAGAATATTTTTTACTGCTACAGTTTTATAACCTTTAGAAGTTTTTGCGTTATTTGTTACAACTATTTTCCGTGACTTTAAGCGTTTTGTAACACAGAGATAAAGTTTTAATTAAGAAATTGTCAATTTCCTTTATCAAATCCTGCGTGGTGTAATTTTGACCAAACAACACAAGTTGTTTCACTTTCTACAAGGGACATAAATCAAATAATGTCAAGTTGGGACGCACATCACTCACAGAAATAAGTAGTAATTTTCCACTGATTGCTTCTAAATTTCTCTCGTTTATCAGAGTGAATTTTTCCGTAAATCATAAACCTGATTTCAGTTTACAGAAACATGTGAAGAACGCGTCAGATGTGGAATATCCAGCTTACGGAGTCACAGGACCTAATAAGGATGCTTCACCATCAGGCGACAGACGACTGGCTCAGTCTGCACAAATGTATCACTACCAGCATCAGAAACAGCAAATAATAGCAATGGAGAGGTGTGTATTGCACGAATAATTTATACAATAGTGGGGAAACTGGAGCTTCCCTTCTGCAGTCGAATTTAATTACTTAAGTTAGATTGTATCACCAAACTAGAGTCAAGGGAGCAAATCGATTACATTTATATAAAAGTCGTTAAAGCGAGATTTAGCAACTTTAATCTTACCAAAAACGATAAAAATCTATTGCAAATCGTTAATTTTTTCTATGTTTGAGTTCATTTTTTTAATTCTAAGGAGCTTTACAGCACCGCTTTTAGTTTAATTCGCTTTTAAGTGTTAAAATCTAATTACTTTGAGAGTACGGATACATTAACGACTTTTAAGCCGATTTATATGTCGGGATGAAAATTTGTTTATTCTCTTTTGTCCTAATCTAGTCCAGTAATACTAAGTATTAAAAGGAATTGATTTTTGTGCAGCTTGAATTAAACACGATCACATCTAACTAAAATTTAATTTACGTTACGTGTTACGTGGCCATTCTTTGAAGAAAATTCGTTATCTACTAAAGTCGTCCGTAATGAAGGACATCGACGTCACCTGAAATAAATGATGATCTGTGGGAATTAGCACAGTACTATAAATTACCCACATTGCTATTTTGTAGTTATAATTAGGAATTTAGATTAGTTATTTATGTCCAATGGGGTTATTAATTCTGTTTTATTACTCTTGTGCAAATAAAATTGCGAAAAAATGTTATTTTTACAATTAAGTATAATAAGAAATCAAAACTAAATATATCTTCAGGTGGGTCATCATTAGAACTGTTCTTGCAGAACCGGGAGACAAAGAAACTTCGATTACTAGTTATTTTTAAAAATGTTTATTTTTGTGGCTTACAATTAGTTCTTTTTACCTAACACATATGGGTATTAAGCAGAAATATGACCATTTTTTTTTAATTGGAAGAACTTGTAAAAAGTTTTTTACAAAAATAAACAAGAAATTTTTCTTAAAACTTCCGAGGTTATTATTGGAAATTCAATGAATATTTAGTTTTGTTCCAAAGGGTGTAAATACAGGATGCGCCAGAACTCGCGCCCCAGAGAAAAATAATACCAGGTGAATAAAAAATATGGAACCAAACGTTTTTTGTTTAAACTATTTATTCTTTGAAAAAACTAATTAATGAGTGATAAAGTATTATAAAAATGTGATGATTTAACAAGAATAAATTTTTTGTAAATTTTTTTTTGTTTTTGAGTTCTATAAAAAAAATTTTTTTTAATGGCAACCCACTATAAAATCATTTTTCTCCTAAAAGCTATACTCTAAGGATTACAACTATCTGCTTTATTTTTAATTTTTTCAAAAAAATTTTTTCACATAAATTGCAATTTTGACAAAAAAAAATCGCATAACTCAAAAACAAAACAAAATTTCGTTCTGAAAATACGATCACATTTTTTATATTACTTAAATTTATATTAATTATTATTTTCTGGAGGCAAATGATTAAAAATAAAACCGCTTGGTTCCATACTTTATATTCACCCTGTATATATAATATAAGGTAAGATACCAGGAACATGGAAAAAATGTTAAAAAAATTTATCTATAAAAATTTCGAAGTTATGAGTGTTTAAATTTTGCACTTGTTTCTAAGTTTTCTTGCTACAGGCTATTAGAAGAAAAAACAAGGAAGCTGTATATTAAATTGTAACTTTGTTCAATGTTATTTGTGTCTTTTATAGGCAAAATTTTTATACCTTTACTAAATAATTGTAAAAAAACATGCAAGAACATCATTCTCATTAAATAGATAAAAAAATGTCAAATGTCAAAATTTTTTGACAGATAGAATTTTTTAAAAAAATTTCCATGTCCCTAGCATCTTATCTTACTTGAAATTTTTCTTTGGGGCGCGAGTTCTGGCGCACCTGTATATTTCTAGTCACAGTAAACATAAAGAATATACTGTTGCGAGGAAAAATTTTTCAAACTTTTTGGGTTTAAAATCTTCTGTCATCTTTCTTTATCCACAAAATTTACAAAGGCAATTTAAATTGCATTTTTATAGTTAAATTTTTAAAATAAATATTTAAAATGACATTTTTAAGTTTATAAGTTTTATAATTCTTGCTAATGACAAAAAAATTAAGTAAAAAAATCTTGTCCCATTTTGAAAATAATTACGAATTTTTTGAATTTCTCTTGGGTCTATTGATGGTTTTATGAATAAAAATCAATTGTTAATGGCACGCCAGTATGAGATAAAAATCTACAAGACGATTCAAAAATGTCGGACCAACTCTCGAATTGCCTCTATTTATTTCAGTTTCAGTAGAATGTATGTCTTTGTCTTTGTTTTGGCTACTGAAGACTGCAAATCTCTGAAATCCTTTCAGTAAAATTGTAACATAAAATGACAACCTCCCTTAGAGAAGTGCAACTTATCTTGTCTCGTTTTGAAAACTTATTGGTTACACTTCGTTATGTAGTCGGATGCTTTGAATAAGTTTAACTTGAAAGTGTAAAATATATTAGATTTGCACTTACAACAACTTTTAAACTTGACAAAGTAGTTTTAGAGTTTTAGAGTTTCCTGCAGTCAACACTTGAGCGAAATGTGCAAATGTATATTTTTAGAGGTATGTTCACAACTAACAAAACAACATACACAGCTTACACTAATAAACTAAATAGATTGGAACCCATAAATCTACTTGCAGTGGATGCAGTTTTGCACTTAGCCGATATTTTTAACTCACAGTTATTTTTAAAATAACTCAAAATGCTTTAGAAAATTGTGAATTCTGAGGCAAAGTTGAACTAACATTCGGTGACTGGATAAAGCAAGCAAATTTTTAAAAATTTAATTTTTTTGTATCAGAATATTGTATTCTAATAGTTATTTATTAATCTATGAGTGAAAAGGTTAAGTTTACGAGTGACGATGTCACGAGTGAACTTTTTTCACTAGTAGATAAACAATCTTTATCGTCGTGTATAATATTTCGTTTTATTTTGTACTCACCAACCAGAATTCCTTGAATATAAACAGTAGATAAAAATTACTTTATTTCACTAGACGATAAAAGACTACTTCATTTACTGAAATTAGTTGATAAAATATAAAAAATATTTTATTTTACTATACGATAAAAGACTGCTTCATCTACTAAAATTAGTTGATAAAAGCACTCTTTAACATTGAGTACAAAATAAACATTTATTTATTTAATTGTCACTGTTTTGGTTATTATTATTTTTTATTATTTTTTTTGTAGTGAGTGAAACGTAAAATCTCAAAGTCGAATCCACGAATTACTTTTATTAATTAGGTGTTTTTTTGTTTTTTTTATATAGCATTTTCAAATTACAACTATGAACAGAAATCAGTTTTCGTCGATAAACATTTTCTTAGTAGGTTGCCATTAATTTTTGACGGTATGAATATTTATTTACCACATGAGTCGAGTTTTATCCTAACCAAAAAAACAGCTTTGTAATAATTAGTTAATTACACTATAATTGTACATTGATTTTTTTATTTCGCATTAAAAAATCTTTTTCAAGTAGCGTTTAATTTTTTCCATTATCATGTGATAAAACTTGTTTTACTTTCAATTGCCTCTTCGCACTTCACGAAGTAACTTAAAAATTCCTAATCCTAATTAAAAATTATAATATTTTTAATTTACTCTGAAATTTGTAAATGACTAAAATACATTAAAAGTGAAAAGGTGAAGAGCGCCGTATTTCGATCAAAAGTGAAAACATTTGGCCTACAAAATGTAGCTTATTTGAAATGAAAAGCGTCGCACCATAAATCAAGGGCTGGTTAAAAATTTATGCACATTTTTTACAGCAGAGCTGCTGCAGGTGAAAGACACGGTTCAGTTTCGGAGGCAGACAGCGATGAGGAAAATGAAGAAGGAGATTACACCGTATACGAATGTCCTGGCTTAGCTCCTGTAAGTCATATTTTTTATCCCTCCTGTAATTACCCTAATAAAGAAAAATACATGTTGAAGGTAGACTCGATATCAGATATCGGTTTAGCGCAAGATTTAAAGGTTTAGCCTAAAAGAACGGATCAATCTCAATAAATCTTCAGACTTTCGTGCATTATACAACAGACGGAGTATTATCTAAAGAGTGAAAAATCTCTGTTATAAATATTTAGTGTTTTCTTGGCCATAAATTATGGTAAATTAAGAAAGGAGAAAATTTGCATAAAAGTAGCGATTAGAACGACACAATACTTTTTCAAATGTCAGATGGTGTTACAATTTTCATTATCAGGGGAACAATGTTTAACATTTGTCAAGCAAAATAGCCACTTAAATTGATCGGAATAAATATTTCACGGTAATCCTCTCATTTATCATTTCTCTGATTTCCAGACTGGGGAAATGGAAGTGAAAAACCCGCTTTTCCAAGACGACCCAACACCGGCGCAAACACCACCCGTTAAGCCAAACGAAGATGAAAAGAAATAAATCGACCACAAACATTATTCAATAGTTTTAAGTCATCGCCAAACTAAAAACCAACTTCCAAATGGATCGATGTTTACGTCTCTGGACGCTAAACATCAATTCATTGCAAAAGTTTGCAAAGAACGTGGCTGGAAGTTGGAAAACTGAGTTTTCCAATTTTGAGTCCCAGTTGTGAGAAGACTTAAAAATGTTGGATAAGATAAACTGTTTTTTCAGTTTTTAATTTGATTTGCTTACTTTTCTCTTATGTACACATGTAATCAAAATAAATTATTTTCTAGCAACCACAAAGGCGTTTTCTTTACTCTTTCTTTAAATAATTATTTTGATGACAAGTGTACGTTCTGGTTTTGTTTGCTGTTCCTTCAAGACTGAGGCAAAACACCTAAAATAGGACATAGGTTAAATAACATATATTTTTGCAAAAAAATTAGAATTTGTTCATCGATTTTTGATGATGCTTCGTCTGCCACGTTCACTATCCCAGCCACTTTTCTAAATAAATGAATGTAAAGAGAGTGAAGAGGACTGTGTACATTTTTGTATCAATCCATCTTATGTTTTAGTTTTATACACCTCGATCTTTATATCTACCTTCTAGCAGTATTTACCAAACAAGTCCATCAATTACTTAACTTGAAAAAATATAAATAATATAAAAACATTATTGTATAAATGTTAGAGTTTATTTTTCAATGTATAGTATACCTAACGTTGAATTGTTTAAAATTGTAAATTATTTAATATAAATAAAATTATCATACCAATATCAAAAATAGAGAATAGTTAGAACATAGATTAGAATGTAGGTCAAGCACCAATGTTTGAACAATCTACAGTTATGATTAAATACGTTTACAAAACTCTATACCTTGTAAACTGCACACTATTTATTTATTACAAAAAATAAAGTTTTATTTTAAAATATTTGCCTTTTGAATTTCCCTCGCATCGTTCGTGTCTAGTCGGCCACTTTCGCCCCACTTAACATGCGTAAACATAACCAACGTACACCTGTCACTAATGTCAGTCTTATTTTGGTCGGCTTTTTGCAAGTGTTGGAGGTGCAGAAATCTCAAAATAAACTTAATTTCTTGAATAAATTACTCAGTTTTTATCTCAATGTTCTAGTTGTACAAATTATGTGTGTTTCCCAGCAAATATTCATTCATACAACCACCCAAACCCTCAAAATCCGTAATTAATTTTGGTAAGTTTGGTCAATTATTGTTTTTTTTATTTAATTTAGTTTAGATTAATAATAAATGCTCAATTAAGCCAACAAGTGATGGTTAATTAGGTGCAACTTGTTGAATACCATGGGGAGAAATTACTCGACGAAAAAACTACAAAATGGTAAAGTAATAATAAATGGGCCAGATATATTTTTAACTTGGGGTTGATCATGGGGTTTAATGCCCATATCGATTTAGGGAGTAATGGTTCAACAAACTGAGGTGTTGCCCCAGGGTTGAAAACAAGACTCATGTGTGCACACCTCCGGCCATTTATCATTAATTTTTAATTAACAATCTTCATTAAATCGTCTCACGTAATCATGCTCAGTTTACACTGAATTTGATAACCTCTTGCTCAAATCACAACAATGATTATTTCTCATTGCTTGGTGTTTTTATGAGAATGATTAGTAGAAACAGGAATTTTTTATGTTGCAATACTTTTAATTCGTGTCTGTAATTAATAGAACAATTTCACACAATTAAGATAATGGTTTCAGTGTCATTTTCGTCACGCTTAATTTGTCAAAGGCCTTTATTTATCCCGCTGTTGAATTATTTATTGTCAGGTGACACCAGTATAAGGCTAATTTTATTGTATAATCGATCTTTTTGGTTAAAACTGACCCAAATGTCTGCGTTCCTGGATGTTCGAAGCACCGGTAAGCACTTTCGATAATAATTTTCCGGTGTTGTGTTTCCGGTTGTGTATCCACGCGTAACATTTTGTGCAGTTACCATTTTAAATAGAAAATTTCAAGAAAACTTGTTCGTTTGTCAAAAAATTACTAAATAACCACAATAAGTAACTGTTCTTCACAATAATTTGTACACCATGTATTAATTTCGAGCAGTTTTTACTGAAATGGAACAGTTTTGCTTTATAACAATCGTATGATTCGTAATTACACATTAGGTACTTAAAATGGAAATTGTGATACAGACACTCTTGAGCAATAACAGTGACAAGATAATGTCTTTGTTTATTCCCTTTTACGACATTTTAAATGGCAAAAAATTGTTGTCAAACGCACTTTGTAGAACAAAAATAAATATACCACACCTCGTGTAGACCTAGACACAAAACAATACCAAAATGGTGCCAAAAAACAACACGTGTTGATTAAAAAAAATGTTTTTGTTAGTGGTGCTATATCAGGTCACTGTGGGTCAAAATTCAAATTCTCCAGTGTGTCAAGTTCAAGACTTCTTTGTTGTTAAAAATATGATTCGTATTTCTGCTTGCCAACCAAGTGAGGTTTGGTGATATTGTTGTTTATTTTGCTACACTTGGTAAAAATAGGCCCACAGAAAATTCTATTTAAAGAACTTGCTATTTTAGGACCTTGCATAGTATTCCCTAATGATTAAAGTGAAGACAGGGACTATTGAATAGTGATAACACAATATCCAGAAAAATTTCGTTACTATTTTTGTGTAAAAAGTTTTACTTTATTAATTTATTACTGGGAAACATACCTGCTGTGAGGTTTTGAAATAATTGCATATCTATAAAGACATTTTGGTAAGAGTTTTTATCGAAATCATCAACTTGTGAACATTGAGTAAAAAGAATATAAACAATTTTGGATTTTAATTTTTATGTTTTTCATGAAATTTTGTAGTCATGGTGTATACAAAAGAAATTGGCATGTGGTAGTAATGTAATGATATTTTTTCCACTCTTACCGTAACAATGATTTTATTTAAACTTTATTTACCGCAAAGATTTCTTTAAACAGATTCCCAGATTTGCATCAAAATACATAATTGCTATGCAGGGTATTCCAGGAATAATTAAAAGAAAAAAAAACTGAGTTTCAAAATACAAATTTTGAAATATTATTTGAAAACACGTTTTTTCAGGTGCAGATACGAGTACGTCCGTGCATATTAATTCTTGTATCAGGTGAATAAAAAGTATGGATCTAAATGTTTTTTGCTTAAACTATTTATTTTTTAGAAAAACTAATTGATGAATAATAAAGTACTATATAAAAATGTGTTGTTTTTATCAAGAATTAGATTTTTCGAAATTTTCTTTTGTTTTTGAGTTCTACTCAAATTTTTAATTTTTTTAAATGGCAGCCCACTATAAAATCATTTTTTTCATCAAGGTTATGATCTAAGGATTACAACTATCTACTTTGTAATAATAATAAAAAATTGTTACATAAATTGCAATTTTGACAAAAAGAACTCAAAATACGGTCACATTTTTTTATATTATTTTAATTTATATTAATTATTATTTTCTGGAGCCAAATGATTAAAAAAACCGCTTGGTTTCATACTTTATATTCAGCCTGTTGACATGTTTTTCTAAACAAACTATTTTTTGATCAAATTTTTCTTAATTTTATTCTATAATTTATATTTTTTACTTTATGTTTTTTTCTTTCTAGTTTATTAGTTTCAATTATAGATTTAACTATTACAATGTATTATAAGGGTTAAGTTGAATAGCTTTCCGCTAGATTTGACTCTTTAAATAAAGTTTATTATTATTATAAGTATAATTAATTTTACAAGAGATTGAAAATCTAATTCACAGGTCATTATTTTTACGATTATTTAGCCAAATTATGGTAAAAGCTATTCAAGATGTCTAGCGAATATATGACACGAAAACCAGAATTTTTAAAATACACTTCAAAACCACAGTTTTTTTTTAAATGTATACAAGAGCTTCAAATTTTAATGAGTGAGTCAAGAAACAGTTTTATATTTGCACTAAATGGGGTTATTAAAATAATTATTTCGTGTTTTCTACTTTTGTAATCAGTCAATAGTAATGAGTAATGACTCTAATGACACATTCATGTATTAATTGTATAATTTCTAATTGCAAAAGAAATGAGGAACGATACGTGAAACTTAACTAAATCAATGTAATTTAAAAAATCCTCTGTGTTGTATGTTGTATCTACTTTTTGCTTTATCTATTTACTAATTTACAACCGTGTTTAGTTCCTTTTTCGTATCGGCAGTTACGATAGTGCACTTCCTGTAAATTTTTAGACTCTGTTGTTCCGATATGGATTAGGAATGTCATTTCAATCATAACAAAACCACGCGTGACAATCAACTTCCTGTTTTTAGTTCCTTATTTTTCAAATAGGGAAAATTAATAGTTATAGCCTTACATCAGTTATAATTATTCAAGAGACAAAAATTGTTGCTTTGATATCAATTTCCAAAATTCTCGGCTCGGGTGACAGTTTTTTGCGTCATAAAAATATGTAATTGAAAGATGTTTCACGTTATTTTTTCTTTTTGTGTCCACCATATCACGACCTTATTACCCAGAGTAGTTTTAATAATAAGTGTATTTGTATTTGTACAAACTGCATTACGAACAAGCTATTGTTTCTTGAACTATTGTTACGCAAAAGAGTTATGTATTCAAGGTTGTGCGATTTATTATGCATTTGGATTATATTCATCATCAAACTCACAAATTGCAAAGAATTTCTTAAGTAAACGTTAGTAATAAGCCGCAGACGTAGTAATGACAGAATGTGTCCTATTAGATGCGTGTTTATTTTTTTATTTAAAAAATCTGCCCACGGTAAGTTGGTCAAATTTCATTAATTTGATGTAAGACAGCCAACAGTTTCATGACGGCGCATTTCCCTCCGGCAATAGAAAGTTTCCGGTGTTGTGGATATTTTTTTTAATAAAACATGGCATGTATACCAATGCAACGTTTGTGATTTGGTGTTTATATTACTTTGATTTCTCTTTCTTCAGGTATAAATGGGACACTTGTAATAAGCTAATTTATTAATATTAATGTTATTATCTCCCATATTAAGATTTTTGTTGCTTATAACCCAGTTTTTTACAAGTCAGCTGTCTTTTAGTGTTACAATAGTTAAACTTAATGACTGTAATTTACCCAAGCTGTTTCTAAGCGTGATAAAATTATTTGCATAAATTTTTAGGTTGGTCCTAAATTTAGAACGTGTTCACGGGTACCGAGAGTTTTTTTTATCTTTATTATGATGATAAAGGAACTAAAAAGTGATTATTGACATTGAAAAATTCTCACTGTCTTGGCGACCAGCCTTGTAGCTATGTAGCATTTTTGTGACTTCATTTTGATGAGCATTTACAAATCTGGTTTCTTTTATTGTTTATATTTTGTTCTTTTAGTAAATAAATTGTTAAATATGTTGAAACACACAACAATAGTTAAACTTGTACTTGTTGAAAATATGTAGATACCTATTATTAAAATTAATTTCAGTCTCAAATTGAAAAATTTTCTATTTTCCATCCCGTCTCGGCACCCATGGATTCGTGAGTCAGAATTTATCGTGCATCCCTTTTTTTTTCTATTTTAATTTTTTTTTACTCATAATATAGTAAGACTGTCATTTTCGTTCTAAATATTACAGTTATTGACAACAACGTATATTTTCTAACAAAGTTTTTTTTTACTTCAAAATTATTGAAATTTTTTTTCATGATCGTTCCCTTGATGCATAATATGAAAAGTGGTATATAACTAAATATATAAATTTATCAATTTATATACTTGATTTGACATCTGTCAAAATTAACCTCAAAATTTTCAATAAATTCACGTTTTCTATGAAATTTCGCTGACGATCATGAAAAGTGTTCTTTCTATACACGTGCGCTGTCTTATTTTTCAGGTCTTTGACTTCCATTGCAGCACTCAGCTTTGCTTCGTGCCGCAAAATTCGGTCTCAAACCTGAAACTATTTTACTACATACATTTTTACTGAAAATATTTTGTTGTGACAAAAATGCTCGAACAGGTTAATATTCTTTTTAACTTGACTTAAAATTTTAGACTTTTTGGTTTTTCAGTAATGACGTCCTCGACGTTTTTTTTTAAATGGAAACCCCTACTTTTTATCCAGTTCGATAGATATTTTAATTGTCGAAATGAACACCAAAATATTTTAAATATTACATAAAGTTTTCGAAAAAAAAATCACCAGAAAAGTGAAATAATATCGACAAAATACAAACATACAATGACCTGTTTGAGCATTTTTGCCAAAACAAAATATTTTCAGACATTATAAATAAGATTATACCATAATTTTGCCGCTCACTGTATAATATATTTTTTTAATATTTTTTCTTCAAATCTCTCTTCAATACAAAAAATTAGTCTCATATTATTACTAGAATAACAAAACATGTAGTTTCTTTAGATTGTGAGAAAATACAAAAAAAAAATAAAAGCTGTTCTACATTCTAAGATCCTTCATACTTTTATTTATAATAAAGTCACTACAATAAAAAAGCAATCCAATCGGGTAAAATGACCGCGTTCTAAGATTTACTATGTAATAAATTTATTATTACTGACTTTATACTGAAGCAATCTGCTAAGAAATTAGCTTTCACGTAAATTATTTTTATTAAACGAATAATTACTTCTTCAATTAGCACGAACGTGACAGTTCACAGCTCAGTATCAATTATTTAAAAATCTCGATTCAAGTAAACAAAAGTGTGACATTGCACTTTAACGACTTTTAATTTACTCGGTAATCAATTCTGTTAACTATCGGAAGAAGCTGTCTTTCTGTTCAGTTTGGCTTTGAAAGGTTCATTATTCGCCCAATTGATTGCCTTTCGCAGGCCCAGAATAGGAAATTCGTTGATTGAATTTTATTCCACAGTTTTTGTTTCCAAATCAATCTGCTCGGTTCAAGGCATCATTGCGCTGTTCCTGCCTCTTTTGCAATATAAATAATGTGTGTATTTCCACTGCTTCCTCTAACTAATTAGTCCGTGATGTAGTTGCTCACGGTGCAATATGAAATTTAAATTTCTAGGCAGATAGAACAATAATAATTTGTGCGAATTAAGTGAGTCGGTGTGGTAAAAAGAAGACAAATGGTTTGGATAGGCGACTGGTTGCCGGTAAGTGGCACTATTTAAAGGTTCAACGAAGAATTTTTAGATTTTATGCACGGTGACTGTAGCCAAATACCGGGCTTAATCAGTCTACATTGTTTTTGAGATTATATTAAAATTTGTTTTGGCTGGTGTATTTATAAAAATGTCCATAACCCAAATTGATGTTGCAAATCTAAACAAGTAGCTTTATTGCTTATTAATTGCCTTGTATTAAACAGTTTGTTTCATCGCTGTTCTAATTTCCATATTAGAGAAAACCAGATGTGGTTACGAGCTTCGCGGAAGTAATTTAAATTGTTCAGTGTGGTGAAGTCTGTAACTGAACTTGATCAGGTGTTGCACTAAAGAAACTAATTTGGCTTTATTAAGGTTTATTACTTCCATCGAGGTTCTCATAGCGTTATTTATGGAATTTTACTTTAAAATTCGTTTGTTAATAATTTTTTATTGACAAATATTTAAAAAATAACACAGGTCAGATTCTGATTAGTGATTAGTGGGGAAATAATGAAAAATATTTATTTACAATAGCTTTGCTTGCAAAACGAGCCCTTATACAGGGTGTGTCAAAACTCGCGCCCCAGAGAAAAATTTCAAGTTAGATAAGCTACCAGGAACATAGAGAAAATGTTTAAAAAATTCTGTCAACAAATTTTGGCATTTATTTTTTGACATTTGACATTTTTTATGTCTATTTAATGATACTGATGATTTTGTATATGTTTTTTTTTATAATTATTTAGTAAAGCTACAAAAATTTTGCCAATAAAAGACACAAATAACATTAAACAGAGTTACAATTTAGGATACAGCTTCCTTGTTTCCTCTTCTAATTGCCTGTATCAAAAAAACCTGAAAAATTATTTTTCTAACAGGAATAAATAGTCAAAGTGCAAAATTTAAACTCTCATAACTTTGAAATTTTTATAGATAGAATTTTTTAACATTTTTTCTATGTTCCTGGTATCTTACCTTACCTTTTTCTGTGGGGCGCGAGTTCTGGCGCAACCTGTATAGGGCGAATTTCGCATTAGCTAGAAAAATACACTTTTTTTGAATTTTTAATATACAATAGATTGCACAATAAAAAATCTTTAGTACAAAATAGTGATTTTCATTCTGGCAACAGGGATTTATATTTTAAAAGTCTAAAATAGCCGCTTCAACACTAATGACATCGAATGGCATCTATCTAGTGAGCACATTTTCATTGTCAATTGTCCATTATTAAAAATTCTTTGCGTGATTACAATAACATAAAAACGCAACTTTTGCAACGGAAATGCTGTGATCTCTGTATAAAATAATTTGCAAAAATATAATTTCATGCAGAAATTAGTTTATTTGTTTGACTGATATAATAATAATAATAATAATAATAAAGGTATTTATTAATAAATTAAAAGTAATACAAAGATGCGGAGGCGAAGTCTAGCTTGAAGCTATTCAATATAACCTCAAAAGAAAAATTAATTGAAAAAAAAAAAAAAGCAAATATAACATAAAAATAAAATAAATATTATAAACAATATAAAATTTAAATAAAAATAAATTCTGAAGTTACTTAATAACTAAAAGGAAAGAAAGAAATCATTGCCAGTCGCTCAATAACAAAAAGAAACAAACAAGAAAGAATTATTTAAGAAGAAATGAAGAAAGAAAACACACTGCTATTGGATAAGAAACGTTTTTAATCATATGTTGTACAAATATGTACATATTTTTGAAATAAATACACACACAAGTATAAAATAAAAAAATGAGAAACCAAAATCTAATACAAAATAATATAAATGGTATGTTATTTTAAGATTAACATTTATGTATGTAACTGTTCATCAATACTAAACATATTTTCCGGACATAATAGTAACTTTTCTTGTTATTTTGACCTAGGGAAAAGCTTTCAACGTTTTTCCGAACATCCAGTATAAAAAAACTCATCTTACACAAATTAAAAAAATTAATGTTGATTTTAGACTCTTAATTAAGTAAAACATTATTATAGCGTTACTAAATATGGCTTTTATAAACATAACCATATCAAAATTGCATATTAAAAAATAATATGATATTATTATGCACTGAAGAAAATCAGTTAGCGGAACCAAAGAGTATTATTATTATGCATGAAGAAAGTCTATGATTTTTACACTCTAGAATAGTTTTTAAGGATATAATATTACGTTCCAAAGCAAAAAGTATTGTAGTAAAAAAATAAACACTGTTGTAAACAGTCTTAATTCGTAGTAACAATAAATAAATAGAAATTGATATTATTGATTACTGAACATAATACTGAAATAAAAAATGCACATGATCTCTATTTTTATTCCATGGTTAATCTACTTGAAACGTGACCATTTATCAAAAATATCGACAATAATTTATTGGCCAAAATTAACCTGTTTCGAGACCATTATAAATTTCTCTAACTTGTCAATTTTAATTTATTTCCAATGTTATAGAATCCGGTGTATGTATGCTGTCTATTTGAGCAATGAAATCCAGCAATTTTATCCATAACTACTTACACACATCGCTGATGTATTAGGATGTACAGTTTTTATCATAAAAAGACAATAGTTTTGCGTTTGAGAAGGTTCATTAAAAAATAAAAATGGCTTGTTTTTTTATTGCATATTTAAATTCAATTTTGAACTATTTGTTTGCTAATAATACACTGACCTACTTTTTACCAAAGTTTTTGTTGATTGCATTAAGTTTAAACTTGACATAATGGCATCTGAGGTCAAATGACAGTTGGATATTGAAGAAGTTCTATTAATGATTCAAACACATGGTTGTTTGATTGAAAAAGCTTGTTGCTGGTTTATAATTAGTAGTTGTACGTGTAAGCCCAAACTTATGTACTTAAATCTTGAAATGATTGGTACTTGCAATTAACATTATTATTACATGAAAAATAGTGATAATAGAGAGAATACGCAAACGAAGAGGTGGAAAATATAAGAAAAAAATATACAGGTTGCGCCAGAACTCGCGCCCCAGGTAAGATACCAGGAACATGGAAAAAATGTTAAAAAAAATCTATCTATATAAATTTCGAAGTTATGCGAGTTAAAATTTTGCACTTTGACTCTGTTTATTTCTGTTGGAAAAATAATTTGCCTAGTTTTTTGCTACAGGCTATTAGAAGAGGAAACAAGAAAGCTATATCTTAAATTGTAACTCTGTTTAAAGTTATTTGTGGCTTTTATTGAAAAAATTTTTGTACCTTTACTAAATAGTTATAAAAAATAGTATATACAAGATCATCAGTATCATTAAACAGACATAAAAAATGTCAAATGTCAATTTTTTGACAGATAAAATTGTTTAAACATTTTTTCCATGTTCCTGGAATCTTATCTTACTTAAAATTTTCTACCGTGAGGTCAAAAATTATCTTGGTCCACGGTGGTCATGGAATAGAAAACGTCTGTCGCTGCTTATATCATCCTTTTGAAATAATTCTGTCAATGTTTGACTCACTAACAGCGTCGACATAAACTACGACAATTATTTTAAAATCCATGACCACCATTGACAGATAATAGATAGATAATTTTTGATCTCACGGCATTATATTTTTGGGGAGTAGGAAAAACTATTTTTTTTAATATTTTTTTCAAAAACAGAATGTCAGATTCGCAATCAAATTCTGAATTGGCACAAAATTTACATCAAACAAATACAAATACGACCTGACCTCCCGTCTGAATGAATATTGTGTCGTATTTTTCAGTTCCAAACTCTGAATACGTGTAACCGAGTTATGCAATTGAGATGTTGCTGTTTCATAAAAAACACCACACAACGCTCTGATTCTCCCAATCCGATTTCTACCAGCCACAATTAATATTTCATCGCGTTTAATTTTTTTTCACGCATTTTGCAGATTTTCTACAAGAACCATGACACGAAAATGATGCGATACTCCGAAATACCGAGGGATATTTCAGGAGACAGTCTTACCGCACTGAAAATACCGGAGGTAACTATTATTAAATCCGATTTGAATTTTTCGACGAAACGATGGTTTTTAGAGCCGAAAGCAGGACAGCTACAGGACCTCCGATATTGACGGTGATTCGGTTTCACTGTCTTCGTCTACCAGCCATGACAGATTTCCTTCAGATCTTAGATTTAGGAAAATATCAACTCCGGCTGTCTCCAGTGGACCGGGACCACCCTTTACGTACTATAACTACGGGTGAGTGATTAAAACGGATGTTTGAGTTAATAAAACGAGACTGTAATTAAACCTACATGATCGTAAAGCGTTTATTTGAGAATTTACGCAAGTTGATTCTAAAACTAAACTGATTTATAGACAAATTGCAATTAAAATCGTTTCATTGTTAGCTTTTTTCCTAAAGGATTAAAATGCATTTTCTTATTACTTGTAGTTGAAGAAGTGTAAAGAGCAGGTTCTAACTCTTATTAAAAAAATCATCAAAGAAAGCTTCAGAGTGTCTCAGCTAAGACCTTCTCGGCTGAACTTCAAAAAGGGCAAATATTTCTACAGTTGTAAATTTTAGAAGAATAATTTCAGTAATTAACGCGCTCGTTACACTCGCTTTTGATTGTTGATTACTCTCACATAATTACATAATTATAACAGGTTTAGAGAGCCATATAGTAAAATATTTTAACGTAATAGGTAACATTATTTTTTGTTTTCTTCTAAATTAAAAATTTTGAGTGGTTTTTATGAAAGACGTTTTATCAAATTGTATTCAAATTTGAATTAATCGTATTTAAATTCTGTCGTCTGAAATATTTGCATTTGAAATTGTATTCAAATTTCTACCCTTACTGACTAACTTGTTTTTTTTTAATAGCACGAGGGCTCAAATTTTAATTCAGTGATTGAATTTAAATGTAAAAAACACTACAATTCGAAAGATTTTTATTTTTTTTTATTTTACAAAAGATGTTCAAAGGCTCTATACAGGGAGCGCCGGAACTCGCGCCCTAGAGAAAAATGCCATATAAGGTAAGATACCAGGAACATGAAAAAAATGTTAAAAAAATTTTATCTGTAAAAATTTCAATGTTATGAGGGTTCAAAGTTTGCACTTTGACTCTATTTATTTCTGTTGGAAAAATAATTTTCCAAGTTTTTTTGCTATAGGCGATTAAAAGAGGAAACAAGGAAGCTGTATCCTAAATTGTAACTCTGTTCAATGTTATTTGTGGCTTTTATTGGCAAAATTTTTGTCCCTTTACTAAATAATTGTAAAAAAAACATATACAAGATCATCAGTATTATTAAATAGATATAAAAAATGTCAAATGTCAAAATTTTTTGACAGATGGAATTTTTTAAACATTTTTTTCATGTTCCTGGTACCTTACCTTACTTGAAAATTTTCTCTGGGGCGCGAGTTCCGGCGCACCCTGTATTTACTTCGTGGAAATAATGAATACACGTTGAACAAAATTTTGTAAACAATTGATCCAAAATGTTAAAATAATTTGGGCAATTATATTCAACTGTATCTGAAGATACTTATTTGCGACCTTATGTGTCTACCACCTGTTCTTTCATTATAACTGAAAAGGTGCTAAAAAAGCATTAATTGCATGTTTTTTTTTATCAAAGACAATCACTAGTTTAAAAAACACAGAAAAATGTTTAGATAGTAGCATTGTTTTAAGTTGGAACAATATTGGATGGTTCAAAAACTTTAAAAAACAAGTTAATAGAACTTTTTTGTATTTTTTAATTTTTTTTTTTCAATTCTCCATTGATCTGGAAAATACTCCATTACACAGGCCTACATATGAAAAATTTGTGAGAGGTGTTTTAATTTTAAAAGCTTTTTATTTCATGTGTCCTGAATTCAGAAGTATCAGCGGTTTTTTCCTATCACATCTAGTTTTTCTGCAAAATGAAAAACAAGTTTATTATAAATTTTTGAAGATTAAATCAAATACCTAATATATTTTTTCAAACATTATCAAGGGAAATATCAACTTTAAATATTTATATTACTCTTATTCCGAATGATGTTTTTTGCGTTTGTCCAAAAAATTAGCTTGAGAGTAATTTTTTATGGATTGGTTTTTACACATTTTGAAGACATTTTCAAAATGAATATTATTCAAATATAAAACACTAATAAAGTTTCTTCATTAATTCTTCTTCATTAATATAAACCTTCCAATCTCAATCAATATAAATATTATAAGTCGTGCCACACAAATAAGTCAAAATTACCCCTATTCAAATAGATTTTTTTGAAAACCTCAGATGATACAATAAAACACGAGTGGTGGATTTGTAATCAGCGCCACCAAATTTGTAAAAAATGACAACAACATTTTAAACCCCGAAAATCATCCTTAAGATCTTGGATTATTTCCGGAATATTAGCGTGGGCTTTATCTAAAGAAAAGTCCAATGCAGTGTGGGCGTGGTGTTTTAAAAATGAGAAATTTCGCATTTAGAAAATTTCGTCAACATAATGAATAATAAAAGTAGTGCTAAAAAACTTTAAGACGGCGTAGGTTTTTGAATCACCAGTAAACAAAGTTTCCAAAACTTCTAAAAGTAAGAGTTTCATTGGATTTCCAACTAAAGTAATTTTTTATTTATATTTTGTGTTGGGATGTTTTCGTTCATTAATAAAACWGAGATATTTAACAAGTCTAAGCTGGAACAACCCCATTTTTTTAGTACATTTCAAAGAATTAAACTGTTTTTAATTGTATCTACACCAATCTTTTTCCGCTGTTATGCACTCTTTT